CTTCCGTAGCGATACTGCCTCGGAAACCCAAGGAGGGGTCGCTATGAGTCGAGGCTGACTCGATGGCAAACAACAACAACAACAACAATATGTTTACTTATCATTTGTCTCTTGCCCTTAAAATTATTTTTTAAAAAAAGTGAAAATGCAGCCCTATCTTGGCAAGATAACATAGCTAGCTTTATGCTAATTAATTATTTCGAAAGCTTAAGGACCCTCCGCTGAAACCATCTTCTTCATGACTTTTTATCAGCAGCTTTCAACTTTTAACATTCAAAACACTCCCTATTATTTCTGCATCAGTAACAGTACATGCCATGTCAACCTTCTTGGCAGAGTCAATGTTCTCTTCTATCTCCTTTTCATTAAGGTTATTGACTGGATGTGAAAAAGCAATGCTCTTCAACACTGCAAGGAGATGACACCTCTTTGCAACTCCAGGCTAAAATTATATCAACCTATCCTTAAAGAAATGATTGTTTGAATAATTCCAAGAACAAATAACATTTAAAACAAAACTTATTTTTTTCCAAACATACAGTTAAAAGTAATGTAGACCCCAATGGGCCTGTGGTGCAGCGGTTAAGCACTTGGCTGCTAACGAAAGGGTTAGCAGTTGGCACCAACCAGGTGCTCCATCTGAGAAAGATGTGGTGGTTTGTTTCTGTAAAGATTTACAGCCTTGGGAATGTTATGGGGCAGCTCTACTCTGTCCTACAGAGTCACTATGAGTCAGAATGGACTCAACAGCAATAGCTTTTGGTCCCCACGCCCCAGTAGACATTTGGCAAAATGTGGACACATTTGTATGTCATCGTAACTGGTTGAGTGGGTGCTTTTGTCATCTAGTGGGAGATCAAGGGGCGCTACTAAACATCCCTTGACAGGACAGCCTCCTAGGGCAGACTTAATCAGCTCAAATGGCAATAGTGCCAAGGCTGAAAAAAACTTGATTTAGAAAGATCAACCTCCTCACGGAAACTTTTCTTAAATTAAACAATTTCATGTTCTAAATAACTTGCCAGTCGTGGGGCTGATTCCATAAGGTAATGTTGACAGTGAGAAACACATTAAGACAAATAATTACCATTAACTCTTCCATGTCTATCTAACAGAATACCTTTGTTTTCCTCTTGCCCATCAATTTGAAAAATAATATGTTTAAAACAGATAAGTAGATAATGGTAAAACCACTGTGGAACACAGTTTGGTGCTTCCTTAAATACTTATAAATACCACATGATCAGCAATCCCACCACTAGGTATATATTCTAGGGAAATAAGAGCTGGAACATGAATAGATATATGCACACCCATGTTCATCACAGCATTCGTTATTCACAATAGCAAAAAAAAATGGAAACATGCCCACCAAAGGATGGATGGATAAACAAACTATGGTACTTACACAGAATGGAGTACTATGCAACATTAAAGAATAACAATGAATCTGCAGAACACCTCATAACATGAATGAACCTAGAGGACATTATACTGAGTGAAACTGATCAATCACAAAAGGGCAAATATTTCGTGAAGTCACTACTGTAAAAAGTGAAGAAAATGTTTACACGCAGAGAGAATCATTCTATGAAGGTTACTAAGGGTGGAAGGGTTAGGGAAGGTAATTCACTAACTAGAGAATAGACATTAACTTGCGTGAAGGGAAAGACAATATATAATAAGGGGGAGGTCAGCACAAAATGATCAAGGCAAAAGGAGACACTGGCGGGAGCACAAAACTTAGAGGCAACAAAGGTCAATACCATCACAAACACAGTCCTGCAATAAGAGTAATAAGTAATAAGAGTAATAGCGATAATCTATGAGTAGATGCGAGGTGAACAGATGTTGGAAGGCAAATGAGACTACATCTATGCATATATATAGATTTGACAGAGGATATCTCTACATATGTATTTACCTGTGTCACAAATATATCCATGAATATAGTAGAGCACACGGGGGCCAAAGTTACAGAAACTTCTTAGCCATAATCAAAAACCTTGAGGGAATGAGGTGCTGGGCCTGGAGGCTCAGGACCATAGTCTTGGGGGACATCAAAGTCCATTGGCATTACATAGTCCACAAAGACAATGTTCTACACCCTACTTTGGTAAGCAGCAACCAGGGTCTTAAAAGTTTGTGCACAGCCATCTAAGATGCCACTATTGGTCTCTTCCCATCTGAAGAAAAGAAGAGTGAAGGAAATCAAAGATGCATAGACCACAGAAACCTGAGACTCTGTGACCCTGAGACCAGAAGAACTAGATGGTGCCTGGCTACTATTGCCAACTGCTCTGAAAGGGATCACTGTA